CAATTCCTAAACATCAATGTTCAGTTGCTAAACACCATCCATCCTCAGACTAAACGTGTCTAGTATTTAAACGTGGGAGTTACAAACTGATAGCAAGAAAGTGTTTAGAAAAGTGTTTAAATTAATTGCTTAACACAGTTTTTGCAGTGTGACCAGCCAACTTTGCTATGCGTTTTTGTTTATGTCTATAGATGAGCACCATGGCATATGCCTTTATGATACGTGACTAATAACACGGACAAGTGGTCTCGTATTGATTCAGTTGGTACTTTATGACAAAGTGAAGACACGACCACATTTTCTTGAAATGAGAAAGTCCCACGAATTTCGGGTGATTAAAGACCATCACATGATTTGGTTGTGGAAATGTTACAATGTATGATACATTATCACGACTATAGTAAGCCTTTCATGAAATTAGTAATGCGTGTGCCACTGATCTGCTAAAGCCGAGGACATTTAGATATTACTATATCAAAAGTTTTAGAATGTGTTTTAGAAAGTTGTTAGGCTGCTTGGTGAAAAATCAACAACAAAAATCAAGCGCTAAGAACATATCGAGAAATGTTATTGTGTGAAAATTTATCAAACGTTGAGTAAAAAACGTTTTAAAGAATTATCCATTAAGATTGACCCATTTTGTGCCAATTCGTATTCCTAACTGATAAAATGATGACAATATATCTCTATTTGTCGCATCTGAATATAAAATGAGTGAAAATAAGTATGAATACTGCGATCGATCGTAAAGTAAATTGGAGCTACCAAAGCGCTTGAATGTCTATGCCTTCCCTTTGCCAAAAAAATCTAAATGGAAATTGAAAATGTCGATCTTGATGAAATTGCCCTTGGCCAAGTGAATGTTTAGCTTTGTTCCATTTTGCCTGACGCATGTCAGCTTCGGGACTTCGCTACCCACCCACATCAATTCGACCAACTGAAACCCTCAGGGCAGGTTGTGTTGCCAACTCCCAGTTGCTGTGTTTCAGCACGCGCTAATGTTCCATTTCACCTGCCAGACATTTTATGGCGTGTAATTTCCATATGACAATGACAACTTTGCAATGCATTGGCGACGCATATGCAGCCTAGTGCGAAGCATACAGGCAGGACACGTCAAAGGTATCAGCTTTCAAATTTTGTGGAACACTCTAATTGACGCAGACAGAATTATGGTAAATGGAGGAAAAAACACCTCATCTAACTTTTTATATGTAAGCTAAGATGAAAGGTGTTTTGGCTAGTGGAACGTAAAGTATAGCTTTATGGGTTTTCTCGTTGCAGACACTAATCTTGTACCAGCAAATAAAATCCACGGCGAAAATTGTTACAAAATGTCCTTCAGAAACAAATTCATTAACTAGTATTTGGCATTCTCACAGGTGAGGGCGTACTTGTAGTGTCAATTAACGATAGAGGGCGCGCTAGGGATTACAAACCAGAGCCTGCGTTACAAATGTTAAAGTAACCTGAATGAAGAAAGGACACTAGAATTGAAACATTCTGGGTTTTTGTTTTTATTGATATGCGTGTTCAACTTCCACCTTTTATAAGTGACATTTTGTTTCGTATTAAGCCAATATTGTAGTTGAAGTAATTTTAGACAAGCTTTCTGATATTTTAAAATACAATTCTACAGTGTTTGCATTCACTATTTACAATGACAACCGAACCTTGGGTGTTTGTGGACAAACACAGATCGGACTGTTCAGTTTATTTGGGGCTTCCTCCGGAACAAAATAGAGATGTACAGTAATTAAGTTCCGTTTGCCAGCCAGGTTGCCTTAACTGTCTGTCGTTTTACTGCCTCTCCGCACCTGGGACTCACTGGAGCAGTATTGTTGTCGACGGCTGTTGCCTTTGTAAGTTTGAAATGTCAACATTTCACTTTCAGTGAGTTGAATGTTTACTCTGAAGTGTCGCGGTCAAAGAGGGAAAGATTTGCTGTGAACCGACACGGTATATTTACAGTAAATGTTGCCAAGGGGGCTGGTTGTGTTTGGTCATTATATGACGGACTTTAAACAGTGCCTTTGACGGAGAAGCTTCGGGCATAAAAACGCATAACAGTCTCTGGATTGTGCTGCATAAATTCGACTTTACTTGACAACTTTATTTCTTTGATTGAAGTTCCGTTTGACGATCAACACAAACTGCTGTGTTGACGTCAACAGGATCAGATTACCTTAATTCAATTGGAGCATTCTGAGTCGTAAAAAGGAACTCCTTGAAATGGTGGGAATGCAGAAAAATTTTGCAGGACGCTTTCAAAATTGTCGAGAGGAAATTAAATTTAAAAGTGTGTTTGTGTTTGCTATTGTTCATAAATTCTACATCTGAGCTGCAAATTTAGAGGCAGATATATGTATTTGATTCAATTTGTATAAGCTGTAATGGTACCATGCGAGTTGTTTTATTTGTTTAGATTGCTTTCAGCCCCGGCTGACATCCTGGATGTTGGCATTCTTTAGATGATTTTAAAGACATCGATGTTTATATTCTCATAGCACGAGTTGTCATCATCGAAAAAGCATTATTTTTTTCACTTCCAATATAGTCCTAAAATTGCCTATTCATACATGGAGAGATTACGGTTGGATTTTGAGAATTGTGGGATTTTTTTACGGCAAACCTTGTGACTCGTGAGTGAAAGTTGGACAGCATCGGAAAGCCGCTTTTGCGATTTAATTTCACCGAGATGAAGCCCCATCAGTTTCCTATGGCTCATGGGATAGATTAGTCCGTATCGATGTTAACGCCGCCAATCCACAGATATGCATCATCCTATCTCCTTACAAAGATCGCATCGAGACATTTGTCGTGTATTTCCCTGTGATACATGTATAATACATGGCGGGGACTGCAACCTTTGCTAACATTAGCTGCAATGGTTCTCTGAACTCGAAGCAAATTTTGTATTGTGTTGCTTGATAGTACATTTGTATTTTCTTCAATTATGACTTGAATGTTATATATTGTACAGTTTGACTCTTTCAAATTACATGTCGTGAATATAGTGTGCATTATGTTTTTATAAACGGTAACATTGACAAGATTTATCTGTTTGTGTTATCGAATGTTTATCTTTTATTTTGTTATTCAATTGAAAAATTAAATCGAACCCTGTGTATCATACGGTTGAACAGCCAAACCTCTTCTATATGGTACGTTATACGGTGTGGTTGCTCCATTCGAAAACCTTTTATTTCTCAGCCCGACCACAACAATAATTATTGCATTACCTCCTCCCTGTGACGTCACCACCCCTAACCGGATGAGAAATAGTTAATGCCGCTCTAATTGGCTTGCACGGTGAAGTGGGAGTCCCTGTGGGAAGGTCTATAGCTAACAGTGAGATCGAGGTGGCGGCAGTGCCAGGTTCAGCCCGGTTTATGTCGATGAGCATCCGTTCGTCTTCAGAAATCATTATTTTGCGTTCCAGTTTGTATTGGATTGTCTAAGCTACCTTGCTCTATCTTCCTGCTGTGAAACATCCCTATAGTCTGTGGCAAGCCAGCTTGAAATGCACTGCTTAAACGCCTCCCAGTGAACATTATCATGCACATGATCTACGAGTGACATAATTATTTATCATTTTGTAACCCAAGTCACTGCGGAAGTAACTTCAGGAACTCATTTTGGGTGGGTATCGCAGTGTTGGATTACCAATTGATTTAGTTGAATCTTCGTCCGTTGACCGTAACGAAGAGCTGATCAAAACTCAGCGTCCTTCTTTTTGAAGGCGAATAATTTTGCGATTGTAAGATTACCCACGCGGGGGTAAAAGCATCTGGATGAATAAATGCGCGCAGTGACCGCTTAAGTTGATTGTAATTCGTGTCTTCGCTTGCAATTGAAAAACGGTACACTTCAGAATCTGTAAGATGATGGAGAAGAGTACACCTTAAACTAGCCGCAAGAAGTTTAAATTGTTTTAGAATTTCTTTTAATTTGATAACACCTCCCTTTCTTATTGATTCAATTTAAAACCAATCAAGGATGGATTTTACCATGAACAAAACGCACGGAACGCCATTGGGGAACTTTTTTAAATGTGTAAAACTTCATCAAATGTAATTGGCTGTAGCTTGATTTGATCTTGAGTTCTTCAGAACAACGTACCCTAAGATATGTTTTGTTCTATATTGAAGTTCCTTTGTGATTACCTTGATATGATACAAAACGTTCATTGTACCATTGCCGATTTCTCCACTTCACTAATCTGTCTGTGAATTGAGGTTGAAAACATTGGCAGCACTGCACTGACCTAGAGCCGTGTATTGATGTCACTGTTTGCCGTTCCCACTGCTTGATTTACCTTGTTCCAATGAGCCGACAGATAGAATTACTAGTATGCTCGCCGAGAAAATCTAATCACAGACTGTAATTGGCCTAATTGACCTTCTCTCAGCTGAGAAAGGGCTCATCCTGTCTTCTTTTGGGCCTTGGCTGTGCAATGAAATAGTTTGTATTGGTGTAGATGCACCTATATGATATACAATAATTATGCCGTTTTACTCGGATCAAAAAAAGGTCTTGCGATTACCGTCGTTTGTCTAATTCATTCTTGGCGTTAGGTCCGATGAAAACAAGATTAAAAGTAAACAGAAACAGTTAACGTCAACCTGCGCTCGATGATGCGCCATTTCAGCAGGATATGATCCGAAATACCTGCCTCAATAGGCTCGCAAGAAAAACTAATTAAGACGAAATGTGGGGTCGTCCAGTGAAAGCCAGGAAAAAATGTAGAGGCGGATTGTGCCGGGGTTAGAAACTTAAGGATCCTACACTATAGTATGCAGACGGTACAATCGATGAAATTCCTCTTTCCGAGTTGAACAAAAAATACTCTGACCGTTTATTGCTCTTAACGTTGGATTAAAAGCTAATCTTTGCAATGAATGCAAGTGAGTCTCAGGGTATTGCAGGGATAGCGATTTAGGAATTCTAGATATTTTTTCAGCGTTTTTTCCTCGCTTTGTTGAGATTAAAACACGGGATCAAAAGGTAGAAGTACATGTATTTCTAAACACATGCACGATCTACCAGCGACTCTACTTGCCTACACGTATAATATTGCGGAAGAAGGAAGCAAGCGCAGTCTCAGAATAAAAAGTGGAAGAAGGGAAACGTGATCTGGTCTAACAAACAGACCGCAGGAGCAAGCACGGCACGAGGTGGGCGTCAATTGCAAAACCTAATGGAACACGGGAGAAGACATTCTGAGTGACACTTGGCGCGTTGAGGTACGCATGGGGTCGTGGTATAGCCGTGACGCAGTTAGTTCAACGGGCGGAGATCGCTCACGCCCCATCACTTGCTCTACACGGCATGTTGGTATAACAGCACCGCATCATTACATGCGCGCTACTTCTATAACCAAGCCACGCAGTGTAAAGACAACTCAAGCGCGAATAGCACACGTTGCAGCTAAAACAACACCAAATTACCCCTGAAGATTTAAAGTTCAACAAGACAGTATTATCCTGCACTGTTGGAGGTTTCTCTGAACACCAAGTGTTTAAACTGCATCTTATAGCAGGTAAGATTATATTTTTACTCGTTCCCCAATTCCCACCTCATGCATCACGATGGTGCAATATCTGATGCCTCATGCATGTTTCACCAAATCGTATTTTATGGCACTATCGATGTTTTCGTTGGTGTTAGATTGGTATTTTAAAGTCATCAGTTCTTGTAACAACATAGTTCATAGCCAAGATCCAAGACAATGCAAGCATATTAGCTATTTGTTATACCTGCTGCGGTTTCGATTTTTATTGACGCTTTTTTTCCCCCGAAAAATCTGAACCACGTACTTTAACCTTACGAAGATGGAAATTGTATGGCTTAAAACAAACAACATGCTGGCATTCTTAGGTTGTTCTTTATGATGTCGGACTGTTCTTTTTCTTCTTCGTCAGGATTTGGCTCTTTGAAATTGCAGTGGTATTTTGTTTTACCATTGCAAGCATTTTCTGATATCGATTGTAAAGCCAAATACTTTTTCATGCCAACGTGAGCTGAAAACGCAAACATTGTTGGCATGTATAGTACACACCAATATTGTCCTATTCATATATTTTTTTATCAAATTTACATGCCCTATTTTCAGTGTAACAAAATAATCAGATATCCCTTTGGCGATGTTAAAAAAATGGAGCCTCTAGTCACGATCCGAACATTATGCGCTCTTAAAAAGATTCGACGATTTTTACCTTCTTGCATCTCCGTAGATTTACATTTAGATGATCAAGAACAGATTAAGGACTAATTAGGCTTTGAAGACAGACTAACGATGGTTAAATATGACTATTATATATGATTATTATGATGGGACTATACTGCCCTACGGAAGCGGCCGCCACTTATGATGTGGCGGCCGCCAGATAATAAGTGGCGGCCGCCACATAAGTCGTCATAGTAAGTGGCGGCCGCTGTACAAAAAAATATATTCACACTTTTTTATGTGGCGGCCGCCACTTATAATAATTGTCTGAAGGCCGCCACATAAAAAAGTGTGAATATATTTTTTCTGTAGGCCTACGTGTGAAAATATTTTTTTGTACAGCGGCCGCCACTTATTATCTGGCGGCCGCCACATAATAAGTGGCGACCGCTGTACAAAAAAATATTTTCACACGCCCCAAAATATATATATATTCACACTCGTTGAGTGGCACTATCCGTCTTCCGTACTGCAAAAGCATTGATTGTCGTCACGGTCAGCATTCAAGATAACCGCGTCCCTGCAGTTGCACCATAATGAATAATCATCAAACCCTTATGAATATAATATATACATTTCGTCATGACGTTTACTACATGGAAAAGCTTACTTCATTTATTAATCATTAGGTAGGCTGTTCTTCGGGGAAAACAAATATAACATGTACAGTTTGTATACCGATTCAGAGTTAAGTAATCCTTCCCATCTAGGAAGTGAAAACCCTTTTCCCCTCAAATCCTGGAAATGTTATGAGCTCCGGTACTCGGAGACTCAAGGAATTAGATGACTGGTAACGTCAGTGCAGGAATTTCATCGAATGGAATCAATTTCCTCGTCTCTAAATCCCGGCTTTACCGGTAAACAACCCGGCTGGGAATCGTTCCAAACGCATTTTGGGGAGATTTGGCGGGGGACGGGTATCATCCACCCGCGCTGGCATGCTCCCTGCAAATTAGATTTCGCGGGAAATCCGCTGCTAGTGGAAAGCGCAGTGGCACTTCTTGTCAAATATTTGGTGGGTTGAACGGACAATAGACAAGGAGACTACTGAGAAGTAGATCCTGAAAGCCGTGCAAGAGCCAATAAAAGGGGTCAAAGGTATAAAGGAAAGAATCAGATTGCATTTGAACTGATTTTTTTTTTTAAATCAGATTGCAAAGGTGCATGCCCGATGGAGTATCAACATCTAGAAAAGAGTAAAATCAACAATACTTCTCTGGGTATAATACTAATTCCGATATGGAGTTGGTTTGGCTACATTTGCGCGTATTACTCCCGCTTGTCATGCGAGTAAAACTTTTAAATGTTCCCGAAAAGATTTGCTTTAAATTTCTTTTCAAATATCGGATAAATTCTCAAGAAAAGTGCGTTGAAGATTCATAAATAAGAACATAAAAGTCAATCTCTTCTTCATTCTTATTTTTATTTTTCCCCCTGTCATCCCTTCAAGGCCAACTAATGTATTGTTATCTTTCTGTTCAATTGACGGCATAAGTTACCAAAAGCTTATGGAATTAGATAAAAACAAAACTTGTTAGCAGCGATGGGCCTATTTGAGCTTGCCCTTTTGGTATAAAAGGAAGACATGGAAAACACCGTGTTTAGCACAAGCCTTTGAATACTTTCGGCGCAGTTTTTTTTCTCAAACCCGTGCGCACAATTACTTCCATTAGGAGTTGATATCAGTATAAACAGTCCCAGAAAATAACCTTAAGCTAATGAACTGTTTCACACCGACAAGGGATAAATATCCTAAATGCACTTAAGTCAATCGATGTCATTGGCATTCTTAGATTTCCGCAGCTCGCTTCAAGCTTTTTACGACTGAATACCTCTTTGAAAGAAAAGAGTTATGTCAACAATCTTGACTTCCGGGAACGAGGTTGTTTCCCCAAGGCTTTCTCGGGACACGGAGACTCTTTTTGTTCGTCGGAAAGCGACCGCGCGTACGCTGAAAAACGTGCTGTAAACAAGGTTAGCACTTGCGGCTTCCTACACGATTGCGCCTCATTTTATGGTGTATTACGCAGCTATGAGATGATCATGTTTCCCGTTCTCTTCTTCTCTCTCGCAATTTGCAGCAGTCAAAATTAAATGTCTCCACTCATACTCCCAAACGAGTTGAAACTTCGTATTGCATCTCGTATTGAGTTTAATGTCTTGCTTGTCGAAAAAGTGTAAAAACCTTTGAAATTAAAACATGAGACCAACTTGTGAAAGTTATCATTGGTATTAAACGCGATGCCATTAAAAGCTTCGACACGAATAAAGATTTTTTTTGCAAATGGCTGATATAATCATCGAACATGTTTTAATTCTGTAAATTTGACTGACATTGCCGGAAAATAAAGGAACAGCTAACGCCATTTCAAATGATTAATGTTTATTTTAGTGTGTCAATATCAAATATATCTTTATCCTGGTTCGGATTTACATTGATCTGGCCGTTTAGACCGTTTACCATGATTGATGTATAACTTATACGGAAACTAGTGCGACTGTTTCCGTAAACGCATTTCCTGTTTTTAAATTTTCTGAAGTTGTAACCAATTTTCTGATGATGCATTTCATTGAATCATCTTTCATCAGCGCTCCTCATCAACTATCATAATTGCAGACAGTCACTCAATCAGCGTCCCGCGCACACAGCTGCTTCCAAAATGTGAAGTATTTGCATTTAGGTAACCTGTCGTCTTGATTGACAAGATGGTGTCAGGCAGCGTAGGAATGCCAGGCGAGGAGGCGAGGACAGATGAGCAAAATTGGGAAAATTGATAATAGGATTTGCTGCATTTGCTGCATGCATGACGTTGGGCTGCCCTAGATACCGAACTGTGTTCAGCCTCTGCAATGTTCGGTGCCATTTCGTATCATACGCTTACTGACTTTGCCGTTAGTGCAATGTATAAGCCTACCTCATTGTATTGTCAGCGAGGTTGAAAACGAGACCACATTGGCAGACTACGGTCACTTGATAGACTCTTAGCAGTTTAACAGAGTCTAGCCTCGTTTCCATTCTCCCTGGAGATGAGCGATTGATGATAGATTAGCGCGCACAATTCAGTGAGCATTCTTGTCGAAAGAAAGTTGCCTCTTTCTGCATATTTTTCTGCACATAGGCCTACATCACGATTGATTTGGTACAACAAATATTGGATTCGAATTGTATATTAAGTATATGCACCTTTAAATTTAAATAAATTTCACAACCAAATTTTCTCCTTGGAATGTTGTCAGTTTGTCACACCCTTTAATCACAGCAGAGCGTTAAGTCGGTATATCTCTCTCTCCCTTGATGTGACCACACCACCCTTGGGAATTCATTACACGCGTAGCCACACATGTTTTGCTTGTAATCGAAGCGGTAACTTCGCCTAAGATACTTTGCTGCTCCAGCGCGCACGAGTCATCACGCTGTAAGACAGAATACTCAGGTCAGCTCTGAGATCGAGTAATTAATGAGGGTTGAGTGCGCACGTCACGACGATTTGACTTTTGAAATAGTCAGGACTGTACCTAATCAAGAGATTGTTAACAGAAGAAAACAACACCATTTTCCCGGAAACAAACGGACTTTTTAGAGCTGTGCAAAGACAATGAATATGGAACATTTTTGGGAAACCTTCGTTGTAGCAAAATAAAGGTTTATTTCCTAGTTATCTGAACATCCGCAACACTGGCTCTATCTAAGTATGCGCAGGAAGGTTTATTAGCGTAAAGAGTGAAAAAAGGAGGTTGTTTGTGGTAGATTTCCAATATATAATTGGTTAATAAAGAGACAATTAGCTAAACTTTGGTTAAATCAATCCCGTACTTCATTTCATTTCTTTACAAAAAAACCCAAAATCGCCTACTGTAAGTTAGTATTCAGGTTTTGTGGTTTAGATACTTCCGTGTGGATCGAAGACAGACGAAATCGAATGCCAATCACTTGGTTTCAGTTGTGAGACACTGAGAATCAAGGTCGATATTTTAACGAGTTGTAAATTTCTCCTTAAACTCCTTAGGGATATGGTTTCGTGCCTTAGGCGAATCGAACGGCTTGAAATGCGACTACAGCTGAGTCTCGCAATTCAGACTTTTTAACGAGGCTAATTAATTTGCGCATTTCCTATAGTCGCGCCGACAAGATTCCTTACGGAACCGACACCGGTTGTCGATGCTTGGTTGTGAAATACAAGACAAATTTATGCCACTTCTCCGGGAGTGATTAAATGGGTAAAGAAAAAAAGGTTGATACGAAGTTATCCCAGGCCCCTAGAGGCGCGTGGCGCGTAGCGCGCGGTGTGGCAATTAGGTGATCCCCGGGAAAGTTTTGAGCTCTTCCGTTGCGTTAGAAGCACGTGCGCAGAATGGCTTTAATGGTGTGTCCTACGGCAACTCGCTGCACATTGGAGAGATGATGAGACCGTACTTGATGCTGGCAATTATAAGACATTAAACATTGAGGTGACATTCAAGACAACCGTTCTCCTTCAGTCTGTCAATTTGTTAGAGTCTGTCAATTTGTTAGAGGTTTTTAATTGTCGAGGCAATAAATTGTTACATTGCAATGTTTTAGAACCCGTTGCAAGCTAGGCAACGAAAACATTGCCCGCTTGTTCAATGTTTATCATAGAATGTGACACGTAAATGCACTGTTGTGCAATGTGAATTTTGAAAACCTATACGCGCCCGTCGCAAGTCAGACTTGAATATCTGGTACACTGACTTGTTCAAATGATCAACTAACTGTAGCTGCAATTCTATACAAGAGAAACTGTTTAGAAAAAAATCGTTTCCGGTGCACTCAGGGTGCTAAGCGTGATTGCGTGAATTGGACACGCTTTCCGATCAATTTGATGTCTCTGTATTTATAGAAAGGAAAGTCAAATCCCATTCTGGGAAATTAAACACCGGATGTTTCCATTCCCAGGCGGGAACGGAAACGTTTCAATGAATTCTTTCCGTAAAGGTATTTTAAATGTGTGTCTCGTCTTGTCTCGTTTGATTTAGGTCACAGCTTCGCCCGTTCACGTCCCGGTTGACTGGTCAGGCTGCCCTGCAAAGCGTGCTCCCCGTTCTCCGGAGAATTTATCTATTGCTCGGCGGTCAAGGTGTGAGAGAAAAGGACTGGGCTGTTCAAGATTTCCTGTTTCAATTCTCGAGCTAGAATTTAGCTTATGCAGTGCCGTGGAACGTTTCGACTGGAGAAGCGCGCCCGCATAGTGCCCAGAGCCCCACTCAGGGATTAAACTACCCTGCACCGAACCCACTCACTCGCTCGCTGGATATATCGATCCGCCACGCCGACTGGCCCCAGTTTTATTTCATAAAGGGGTTTCTCGTCAACTTGTGGCTGATATTAGGAAATCGATACCTCAGAAAGAGGCACGGAAGGCTCGGATGGTGAAAACATGATCGCCTTCAAAGTCGAACAATAACCTAGCCACAGGTCCCTATATACCTGTAAGAAAAATAAAATACGCCTACTGGAAGTTTATTTGACGAATTAACAGAGTATCAAACCACGGTATCAGGCTTTTCTACACCCACTGTAGATTGCTTCAATCGCCATGATGAGGATTATGAGTGTATGGTTCATGCACGGACGTTGACTCATCCCACGTGGCTTTATTTGTATAAATCTTGCCGCGGAGCTTTCTGCGCCTGCGCGTGTGACGTCATCACAGTGTCGTCCAATCGGATCAAAGAGAATACCACGGGAATGTTGACAATGAGAATGAATTCTCAAATGAAGTGCGGAGAATTCGACACCGGTGATATTTCGATAGGATAAGGAGTCTTGTCGTCAGGGGAAATTCGGGCCGATATGCTGAATAAGTAGAACAACTTCATAAATAAAACGGAAGACAGGGAGATGCTTGTCAAAACAGTTCGTTCGCGGACGACAGGACGAAAATATTAGCGTGTTTCCATGGAAGTAAGTTGGTGTTTGGAGATGTGAGATAGAGTTTTGACGTTCACGCTATTGAATTGAACCATGAATTGAACCTAAATGTAATAGCCTGAACTCTATATAGTGCAAACTCTGTAAAAATAGAATCAGTGCTGGAATGGAGGACACCTTTAAACCTACAACTTGATTCAAGTCAACTGCAACGTCAGCAGAGACTTATCAGAGTTATTCAGGATTATAAGAAAGTGTGTGTGTGTAGTTTTATCAGTGACTATTGATTTTGTTGCTCATCGGAAGACAGAATTGATCAGAATCATGGGAGGTCAAAACAGTGGCGGAATACAAGACAACAACGTCGTCAATTTCACCTTCGTTCACAACATGGACAATGAGTCGCGCGTGGCGTGGACCATCATCTGCACTGCCATCATGGTCATCGCTGCGGGGGGTAACCTCATTGTCATATGGATCGTGGCCACCAATCCCCGAATGCGAACAGTGACTAATTACTTCTTGTTGAACTTGGCCGTGGCTGATGCCTTGATCGCCACCTTAAGCATGCCTTTCCTAGCAAGTTACATCGTGACTCAGAATTGGGCTCTAGGTGCCGCTATGTGCAAAGTGGCGCGTTTCTTTGGAACGGTGTCCGTGGCTGCCAGCGTGCTTTCTCTTGTTGCTGTCTCGGTGGATCGCTATCGTGCTATCGTCCACCCTCTCCTGCCTCGTCTCTCCAAGTCTTACATCGTCTTTATGATCGCAGTCATCTGGGGAGGCGCCTCCATCTTCGCCAGTCCTCTCTTATTCTACTCGAGGATCTTTTCCTTCACCTACGTCGGAGATGTGACCAAACGACAATGCATGGTGGTCTGGCCGGACGGAGTACTCAACCAGATTGACTTTACGTAAGTTATATGTGTTACCCTGTTCTTTTTTATTGGAGCCGTTCAACTAAATAGTCTTATCTCCTAACTTCATCCATGAAGAGGGCACATAGGCCTATTATTAAACGGAATCGTGGGAGTAACACGTTTAAACATTGGTACCATTAAAATATCGACATTTTCCTCATTTACCCTATATGACCTTAAACATATACCACAGAAAGTACTTTAGCCATGTGGCGTCAAGACACATACCACTTAATTAACCTCCCATAGGAACCTCACACGACATCGGAGAACCTCACTCAAATTGCCTAGTTTCATGGCAGAGGGATGTAGTTGTATCGTGGCTGCTCTATGATAAAGCAGTGTCACAGACGGTACCACTCACTACTAATGTCAGAATTTTTCAACACCATAAGGTGACATAGATGCGGCATTTTGTGGTTCTACAAAGGGTCAAAATTTGGACACAGAGTCTTAGTTATCATGCAAAACAAGAGACTGCGATAGTTGGTCTGATCCAATCAGAGAATGAGTTTATAATTATGGTACCCTGTCTCGATGGTAACGTTATAGCATGTTTGCTCAGCCAATAAAAGGTCAACTAACAGTTTAAAGGGAGGTTATAAAACTGATGATTTCACGTCATTTATTCGTGATTAAGTGGGTCGTTCTTCAGCTATATAGGCTTGGGTCGTTCTTCAGCTATAGGCCTGGGTCGTTCTTCAGCTATAGGCCTACCCAAGAAACCTCGCTAAAGCAAGATGAATACTCCAGCCTTAGCACTGTTGCTTCTGCGCAAAGCAGATAAATATAAAATGCTCGAACGACTCTATTCGCTTTTTCACACTTCCGCCATGGGCATGCAGAGCCTCGATCTGGCAACTTTACACAATAAATATAGCCGGTTCAGTGATTCCCGTGTCGGAGTTCAGATCACTGAACCGGCTTTTTGTTATTGTGTAAAGTTGCCAGATCGAGGCTCTGCATGCCCAATGGCGAAGTGTGAAAAGAGCGAATTCTTCGTCAAAACTCGTCAGAATTAAATGTCTAGTGAGCTTAATGTTTCACATTTCGTTCCTCACCTCAGGCAAGCACAAATGCCTGAGGTCTCAAATTTATGATGACATGTTCTGAGGAATTACATCTTTTCAGAAAACAGTACTTGTTAGCCTCGCCATGAAATATCAGTAAAAGGAAACGGACTGGTTTCATCAGTTCTATGCCACGCACGGGGGACAAGTTTGTTTCATGTTGATAAAAGCCGGCGATTCCTGTGAGGATGGTGTGATCTTTCCACTTGTCATGTAATTCGAACCAATTAGGAAGCTGTGCAGATCGATGTGGCGCTTGGGGCGAGAAAAGGCAATATCTCAAAGACAACGGTTATCAAAACACTGACGCCCCAATTGAACAAGGCTTCATTATTTTTTTTACCACATGGGTCCCCTCAGAGAAACATTTTCTATCAGAGAAAGATGAAATACAACAGAGAGTCAGGCACGGCCTTGCTCACCTGAGCGCTGTTGCACCATACTGACTGCATTCTCTTCGGCACCAGTCTGAATGTGTCAAAATCCCGTACATATATGACGTTATTGGAGTACGTTGTAACATGACTTGAGACGGACCGAGCTTAAATTTGGGCCAATATAGTTTTTTTTTTCTAGTAGTGTGGTCCTTGGTATCACTACATCTCTCTGTCTGGTAGAATTAGGTCGTGTCCATAACGGACCTCGTCCTGAGTTGCGGCTAAGACTGTCCTCGTAATTTCCCTACGTATTTACCAAGGACGAGGAACTAGACAAAAGCTCTTGACAAGAGACACGGATGCGGCCTTGTAATAAACCTCCCAAGGCCATTCTCATCAAGAATTCTGCATTTGCCGCAGCCATGATGAAATTCCAGGTGTTTTGCTCTCATGAAAGCATTAAGAAGTATACGCTAGCAAAAACGAAATCAACGAGCAGGATGACGTCATACATAAGTGTTATTTAATAACTACCCTATAGTGCGACCTCTACCTACAGGATAACGGTATTGATCATGCACATTTGTTGTTGTTGCAGGTACAACATTACCACATTCGCGGTGTTGTATTGCCTACCATTGGCCACACTAGCTGTCTGCTACACTGTCATTGGTGTGAAGCTATGGCGAGGAGACGTGCTGGGGGAGTACATACCCAACAGGGCCAGACAGCTCAAGGCGAAACGGAAGGTACGCCACACGAAGGACTCGTTGACCATAATAATGAGATGTCAAGTTGGAAATTGGAAGTGAACGGGAGGGGGTCAAGTGGGTTGGCATGATCCTTGCAAGTGCTAGTCATTAAGGGTACTGTATAAAGGGGTCGATTTCAAGGAATCGTAATGAACACACAAATCTGCTCAGAGAAACAAGTTACCAACGAGAATGGTCTTAGATTTTTGGGGTCTAGTTCTGAGCTACTATATAGCTATCAAAGTCATCCAGTTTAAAAAGGTTTTGCAACGAATTTCGCTAAATTTTTCGCACGTAATTTGCCTAAGCAATATTGTAACCAAACAGTTCGACGACACTGAGTGGTGATAGGCCTATATTTGAGAGAAAAATATCTATCTGGAAAATTTCGAAGTCTGAAAGTGATTAAACGGACTGACCAAAGAGTTTTGTTTGTGTATAGACTATAGACCATAAGGTCCATTTATAAACAGATACGGCAAGAGTGTTGTGCATCTTGAAAGTTAAACATTCTATTGACGACTTTGTCCCTCGAACGCATATTCCCGCTAAAGAAATTAATAGAAATTGCCAGCAGTGTTCATGATCACATTACGTCCCCAATGAGCCTCGTTTAGTTGCAAGTGTTTTCCCTCCCATTGTATTGTGATGAATGCAGGTAGGATGTTTTCGTTTTCCTTTAGAAAAACATCAAGACGTAATATCATCTTAAAAGGTCGGCTGCTCGACCAGAATCATAAACTGAATGCAGTTAGAGATATGTTTTGACCTTTTGGGTAACAAATTGTGTACGTTTTAACGATTTTTGGCCTCCCACTTCTCTTTTAAACCCCAACAAACAATGTGAACAGTCGGCGCCAAATATTTTGAAAGCCGAAAAATAATATTTGCGTCTTATACAAAAAATATATATAATGTTTATTATCTTTTTGTTCAAACCCGCCCGAAAAAAAAAGATTCAACGAAAATATCGCAGAAAAAGTACACAGATTGTGTAGCATTTTTGTCTCTGAGCGAAACAGAAAATTTGAATCCGTAGATATTCGGAGTGGAGAAACCTTTTTTTTTCAAGTTGGTAGACAATGTAGGAACTCGGATATAGAAAATAGTCAGGTATAAGGCCAGTGATATTGCTTCATTTACACTCCACAGTTCCAAAAGATTAAAGCTTTCAAATCGGATCAGCAGTGATGTTGATACAAGCTGACAGTTATGTGTCAAGTAACCCTCCACTTGCATGGGTGATTATTCGCGAACTCAGGCCTATATTTTGGCAAGATATTGGAGGGAACGGTGCGCGAGTTTACTGATGAATGAAATCCCCGCCGAGTGAATATGTCACAGTCACTCAGAGTTTGTGTAGACAGAGATTGTCTGCTAGATAGTCCAGATGAGCTGAGATTCTGTCAACGAACGCTGCTTTTGAGTCCATCCACGTTGTGATTCTTGTGCAGCAAGAGACGAAATGCAATTTATTAATACATGTTGGGTAAAAACCACAATTTGTAAGATTTGCAATTCCAAGATTAAATCCAGTCTTTCTTAAAATCCGTATGATGGATTTCTCCTTACTTTAATACGGATTATTAAGTAAAGTGTATCTTATAGATGGGGGCGGACGGACGTCATCCGATGAAAACATCTATTCATTTGCACACCAGTTTTCATCGGTTGCTTTGTGTTATCATTCAGCACTCCAGAATCAAGAACCATTGAAATTCAAGAAGATGGGTCTGGGAGCTAGATAAGCTTATGGATGAATGCAAAAAATAATTCCCTGATGTGCACGCCGATCTATATGCAAAAACTGAACGCCCATTGTAAATGATAATTATAATAAAACTAAATACCAAAATAGATTGATTCAAATATTATATATGCCTTTGCGGAGGTTTGCGCCTCTGAGTACTCTCTAGTTGTTGTTGTTTTTGTAGATTTGTTCCATAACTCGCATTCTACTATCTAATCACATTGGTATAAATTTGATATTTTGTTGTCATGTTCTTTAGGTCGTGAAGATGATCGTGCTAGTCATTGCGGTTTTTGCTGTGTGCTGGTTCCCAGTGCACGTCTACCAGTTCCTTGCCTTTCTACACGATGACATATACATGAAGCCTTACGCTGTACACGTGTACCTTGCTATCTGGACGCTGTCTATGAGTAGTTCCATGTACAATCCGTTCATCTACTGCTGGCTGAACGACAGGTATGTACAACAAAATTGTCACGAAACTGATGCAATGAATATGCATATTTTTAAGATGCTAGAGAAACTCTTCCCCGTTCCAAATAAATTGTAATCTCATTCTTCACAAATTATGAATTTTTGCAGCATAAATATTTCGAAAACAATTTAACTCTATTCATTAAATTTGTTTAGTTCTTTCATATGAGGATTCGGAGTCTCAAATTGTGTTTGTTTGTTCGTTTGCCTTAACTCCAGATTCCGAGCTGGTTTCAAGCGCGTGTTTCGTTGCCTCATTCCCAAAAGTAAGAATCAAAACGACCCCAAGGGCCTTGGGAGACGAATCCCGCTGACACCTACGGCTTCTAGCGCTATGACAACCTCGACGACCACAGGGATCAATCGCAACATCGCTAATGGAAAGCCCGCCCTCTTGTGTCGGACGAGTATCATGGGGATCAGCGTAGTGGACTCGACAGAAGATATTTTTTAAACTGTCAGTTTAAAGGAGAGTTGGATTGATTGTTTCATTATCATCACTACAGCCAATAAATTACAGAGTTTGCATGAGACATCAGAAAGACCGCCGCCATTTTGTTGCCAGGATGCTGTTGCTAGGGACACAAGTAACCTAGAAACGGCCGCTCGATATGCGCTAGTCAGTCTGAGAGGGGTCGTTAGATGGTCATGTAAACTCTGCATTCTGTGGAGTGAATTTAAAAGAGGGCTTTCGATTTACTTAAGGTTGACTCCGGTGCACCGGCCCTCCACCGAATTTAATTAATTAGAAAGGGACTAGAGCCTTGTCGAACTGTAGTTTGGTTGCGGTACACGTGTCTATGGGAAACTACGAGCAATGCAATTATTCTTAGTCGGTAGGCGGGGCCTGAATTGACCACGTCACGTGTGACGCCATGTCTGTTGATTACCGGCAAGTAGACAACTGTTTTAAACCGAGCCAATTTCGAACACGTTGTAAAACACAGCACTTTACTTTTCACCAAGAAAGATTGGCGTCAGGTGACCTGGTATTGTAATCCCAACTGTTCTCGACCTATCGTATACTCAGGGTTACCAATGCACACACGCCGTATATCCTTATTCCAAATACACGGTGCTATTCCGTATTTATTATTTAATGAGATTCTAAAAGATTTCATGAGATTTAGAATTCTGCCGCTTGTTGTTATTACAGTGTACGCTCAGAGCAAGCGATGAACGCGATTCAAATGAATAGCAAAGGCGCACCGCAGTGCTCATGTATAGAGCTCCCTTTGATTCATGTGAAATAGCATTATTTGAGGATAGAGAATTAGTTTTGATAATTATTGATACAAAGATAAACTACAGACTGGCAATGATGGCGCAATGACTCCAAAAAATGATCTTCTAATGACTGACGTCAACGTCACAATGTCGGGAATGTGCGTGCAAATCGTGCATTACGTAGTACACTGTTTAGACAACACGGCGACGTTTAGACAACAAAAGAATGCAAACAAAATGTAATGGTAACCTGATTTTTTAAATCATTTTATTTTAATTTTTACTTCTAAAAGAGGCTGCTCTTTAGCTGATTTGATGCGTCAAGATCACTTATTCAATACTATACGGTGCCTGTGTCGATGATTGTCACCGAATTGAACATAATTATCAGACAACATAATTATCATAACGATTTTCAACGAACTATTATCTTAACTTTTAGTCAAACGTCAAGTCTAAGGTGTTCACACTCCCGAAGACACTGTGATAATAATGAATTAAAGTATAAATCAGTAAATCGAATTTCAAAGCACCTCGATTATAAATATATTTTCCGTAAAAGAAACGAAAACTGTCCATATCAATTTATTAAAGCTCTGTATTCAAAAAGTCATGCCATTTCAAAAAACAATTTCCTCCTTTGAAGAACAAGTCTTTATCATATCTGCCGCTTGTGATCTGATGTAAATATATATTGCGATGTTCATAGTCTGATATCTGCTGTATATAAACGCAACCTGTATTTATGTCAACCTGTTCTGTGTCTAATTATTAATAAACACTATAAAAGAAGAAAGAAAGTGTTCAAGATATTATTGATGTTATTATTGCCGCATGATGGTCTAGTTTTTAATTTTGCACATTATACTAAGCATGGGCGACAAAGTCGTATGATCGTCGTGCTTGGCCAAGTATTATGTACAAAGTCCATCTTGCTTCCCTATAAAGGTGGTCGATGATAAATTGTTTGAAGTCGAAGTTAAATGGAAGTTGATGCCTGGGGAAATTATGTCTGTATTTCAGATGGCAAGAGAGGGCCAGCGTGGGAAATAATGTTACTTGAAATGTCCAAGCTTTGGCCACCTTAAATTATATATAAATCGTGGAATTATACATTGAGTGCTGGCTTTTCACTACAGTGTGTTCACGTCTCTGGTCTATATTCTTATAACCTCAATGTCCTTACTGAAATGAACTTTACGACTGCCGTTCTTGGGCATTTGACTTTTTGATACTGTGCCCTCACCGGCCACCTTCGCCCAGTCACGATATTTATCCATGATAAATCTGTTTTGGCACTGGTTGGTCGCTTGGTGACGCGATGGCCAAGCGTAGAATCGCGCCTTGGCTGCTTCCATCCGCTTCGTTGCTTCCGTGGCGCGCTGCAGTAACTCGCGCTGCGAGTCCCACATGACCTGCGAACGACGAACGCCCAAAGGAAAATCTTGCGCTTGGAACGGCTTCAGGTAATCTCGCGGGAAGAGGGCGGGATTTCGATCCACGATGGCGGACAACGTGGCATCTTCATCGCTATTCCTTCTGTAATGCAGCATCGCGTCTGAAGTGGCTATTACAAGGATGTTGAGAAACAATTGTACTCCTCATCCTCAATCCTTCTTTGAAATCTTTTACACTATGCCAAGACTGAAATGGAAGACTGTAATTATACAGTACTTGTAAACTAACGTCTTAAATAACACTAACTCAGGAAAGAGGATCGCTACTAATGTTGCCCGAAGACGGCTCTCTGAGGTGTTCAAATTACGACCCTCAGCACTTAATGGAAACACTTACCAGTAATAGCCCGCTGTTTTATCTGCGATTTGGATGCAAATGTCATGTTTACATGTTTTGCTTTAGGGCTTATACGTACGGTGTGTTTCATTTCCAAGGTTATTTGATTATTTGCAAGAAAACGGCTGTTCACTTTTGTAACCAAAGATTTACTAACGTCATAATGCCGGGAATGCGCGCACATGCATATTAAGCAAGCCTCACGCTATCCTTTGTTCACAGGATTGCGCATATACGCGCATGGTATTATTAGGTTCATTGCATAATAACTATTCCCCCAATCCATATACAATTTACATTTGTTGAAAAATACACATATCAGCTGAGAGTTTTGTTGAGACCCCCACTACCCCGACCCCTCCCCCCCCCCCCCCCGAACGGTTAACGCGCAAAATCAGGCATTGACCCACCCATATGTTTGTACGGACATTAATTTGTGTTATTCAGATCATTGGAAACCCATTTTGTGCCTGCAATGCATTTTAGGTGAAAATAATCCCAAGTGCGCAGCTACTGACACGCACACGTGTATGCATTTGGACTCTGGAGGGCGCTGTCATTTTGACCTTCAGGTCAGCACGTCACGCGCGCGGTAGCTGCAAAAACCACCACAGGTCCATGTCGAAGCAGACCGTATCTCTGACCTTGTACTGGAGGAAAGTTTCCTCAGAGGAATTCAGTCGAGCCGTAGCTCATGTTCTACACTCTGTTCGTGGACATTTCACACAAATAGGTTGGAGAATGTTAGCGTCAAACCGGACTACACAAACTGACAAAGCTCGGAGAAAACTTTTGGCCATTTGGGCAACTCAGCTTGAAGCAACATCACTAAGGAAGTGCGGTGACTTGACGTAATGTGACAAGACAGAACTGAGGTTAGTGAATTCACAAGGTGGGTCTCAGTAATTATCCCTCCAAAGGGCTGCGCTGTATTTTATTACGTCAAGGTTGACGGAACTTTGGACTTAAGGCATACACAATGTCATATACCTGTGCACAGTACAAAATAGTTTAGTTGTGACAAGGGCCGTTCAGTAATATGGTTGAGTAAGCCCAAACGCCAGTATATTGTCTACAAAATGTTCTACTTCGAAAATATTTCAGCTATTCTTATACTGTCCGGCATGCTAGCTAAGGTCTAGTTATGTAATAGTGACGTTCCAAGTTACAGTTATTTATCAGTTCTCTATGCTGTGATTCTTGTGTGTACTGTGGCAATTATGTGGAAGTGCCATTTTCGAAACCACTGTGGGTGCGTAGCCCAAATGCTACAAAAAGACGTACAGTCTTCGAATAGGGCTCAGCCACAACTTGTTTAAATAATAGCCAGGTTTTTTTGTAGGCTTGCCATTGTTTTTTCGTCAGCTTACTACTTGTAAATGTTGTATTTTTTCATATTGAGGATAGTTAAATATTATAAGCAATATCTGTAATATGTTGTAGAAAGAAAATCCCATTAAGACTTCTGTGCTTAAACGGAAACCGCTCAATGGCGCCCTCTGTTGTCAGGAAAAGCATGACATAGAGCATAGCACTATTTGATGTGATGAGTGTGCTCCGTTGATTATTGCATTGTAACCACAGCAACAATTTCTATTGTAGTGTATGTTTCAATGGATGATTTAATTCTTGAGTGCACCCATCCCTTCTCGTTCCGGTAACAGTTGGCTGACATCAAATGTATCAGTTGTGTACATATTTCACCGTAGGCCTATGGCCGATATTGTACCTTTCCGGGAAAAATGTTAAACTGATAGGGGAAAAAACAGCTGAGGCCTGCCACGGCGACTGTATTTAACAAGTAGTTTCGCTTGAAAGTCTTCTTTCTTACATTATGTATACCTCAATTTGTCCTGGTTCATTTCGTAACCCCCATAAGAGTTTTTTTAAAAATCCGCTCAATCTGCGTTTTTCTATTCTTGTCCGCGAACCTGCTCTTTCAGTTGTACATTTAGCTAAACTGTGTCAGTTGGATATTTTTATATGGGGTGGGATAAGAGTTCATGTCAGGTCCTCAGCTCAGATCACCATAAAAAAATTAAGTGAGTATGGCAGACTCGGTGAGTCAGGACATGTGCTCAAATAACTGTTAACTAGATAATTCTGGATATCCCAAACTCATAAAAGCCTCGATCGTCCGTGCAAATACAGGCCTTTCGTTGAGCTAACCTTATAACAAATCTATTGAGGCTAGGCCTAATATGTACACTTATTCAAACAGGTTGGTGTCGGTTATACGAGACATTTCTGTTGAGTCGGTCAAAATTTCAATCCATATGAAAGCCCAAAATTGGCTGCATTTATTCAAGTATTTAGAGTCTGGCTCCATATGTAGCAGTGACTACAAGAACTCTTGCAGAAAAAAACAAGATAAATAGATTTTGGAGATATGATTTGTCAAATATATAGGTGATATCTTACTGATTTACGTGTAACATCCATTTTTAATACAACCACATGACACTTTTATACAAGATTCGACTGATTAATCAACGATAATTACAATGTCAGAAAATTAGCAATAACAAACAGATGTGACATTAGTTTTACTTTTATATTTTCAGTCAATTTGTTTTCACATGAATATAACATCAGCTTAACTTACTGAATATCATTAAGTGAATACTTAAAATATCAATATTATTTTTCGGTATTTTGCATTGATAGACTGAAGATTAAGGGAAGTTTGAAGTACGTGATGGTGCTTGGTTTTTAGTTGCAATAATTAAAGTAAACTCGATTAAGAAAACTAACTGAACTGACAACCAAAATAAAAATGGATAATGTATACTGCCACCAACACTATTCAACTAGAGAACAAGTGGGAATATGGGCCAATATATTGAAGGTTCAGTCTCAGTTATTAACCTTAATACCATTCTCTATCAACAAATCGCAACCATAATAATGATCAAACGTATAACCTATGTAGTGGAAATATTTTTGTCCTTAATTAATATGAAAACCTTGGATACTCTGCATTTTTTTGGGGGGGGGGGTCGCTTTTGTTTTACTAAATACTTTTACCGTTTATGCTGATACAATGTGAAACTTTTCATTTTTCGAGGCTGATGAAAATTATGAGCTGTATTCTTGGATTTGAAACTACTTGCCTCTTTTAACAAAAATATTGGAATTTCACTAACTATTCAAGACTTAAAGATGTGGCATAGGAGTACGTATGGGGAAATTGGGTTTGATAACAAACCCTTGTGCATTTAATACTTAAAGAGACATTCTTTACAATTTTTAGCTGCTGATAAAATCATCAAGGTGCAAAAACGCCCTCTGGCGCATAGTGCTTTAGTGTAAATTTCACCCCTGCTTATTAACTATGAACACAGCTGAGAAATCTCGATATTGTGTCACCACAGCATGCCAGAACGCATCATAAGTAACTCACCTATAGCAATAATCTCAACCCTCGCAACCAATCACTGAATCGTGCTTTGCACTCTGCATTCCACGTGCCGTGTACTTTCACGCCGGGCCTGCTGCCACTTATCGTTTAATAAACCTCCTCACAGACTACCTCTCTCAGTTTCTGTTCACCACATTGCACACCAAAATGTATTACTTTATGCCTTAATCTATTCAACCTGTTGATCAATGAAACCAATGATAATTTAAAATGTATTAAACATTCCGTTTAAGGCCAAAAAAAATAATAAGTCGGTCTCTGGTCAGCGCGCGCGTCGATTTTAATCATGCGCGTCGATCTTTTTTTTTTCCAAAATGTTCCGCGGTAGCTCCAACAGCGCCCTCTATTTCCGCACCTCCTCAATTTTTTTTACCAAAGAGCACCAAGGAATGGGAAATTGCACCAAGGCAAATGATCGAAAGCACCAAGGCAAATTATGGAGGACACCAATATACATGAGGACACCAAAAAAGCAAAATAGTACCCACCTTGTCTGTACAATCCAAGCTTGAAGAAAAAAAAAAAAAAGCAAAAAAAAAAAAAAAAAAACCGCGTGGCCGCGTCAATTCCGGAACTTTGGTCTGACCAGAGACCGAATATTTTTTTTTTTTTGGCCTAATCCATGAATTGATAAACCGGCGTGATCAAATGCCCAATTTTACTAAACCTCCAGGCGAATCCACTCACGGCTACAATAAATCTCACAGCTCACCAAACAACCTTACGAAACAAAAACAAACCTCAAGGCGGACATGCCATTGCTCATCAACTGAATCTCATGAGATACATCAAGCACACCACTGTTTACCATCTGATATCGAATCTTGTTCATGGAACCTCATGCGCTCACAGATATCTGCACTGATCCACCACACTTTTGAAACCATTTTTAGCTAAATTCCACTTCACATCAGCTTTTAATAGATTTATTCCCATAGTCATCTCGTAAAGAAGTTTGTCTGACCGTAATGCGGCCATCAATTATTGTTTCCCTTCCCCTCCCCCCGGGATGCCCCACTCAAGACGTAGGGATTGTCACTTTTGAAGTGACAAAATCCCCACCACTTGGGCAAAATTTAAATGACAGTCTCCGACAAACATACGTGGAGCCCATCACTAGTGATTGCCTTTCTATGTAGTACGCCAATTGTAACAATGTTTAGGAGTGACCAGAATCCCCAACCTTCAGGGGCATGAAAAAAATGACCAAACCACGACATCGGACCTGGGACAGCGCGGTGTGAAGGGGGGGGGGACATTTGATAGGCGCATAACATCTTAAAATATTTTCACTTGAGAAAAAACATATCCATCTGGAAAAATACGAGATCAGTTCTGTCCTGACGCCATATAATCACAACGTAATTGCCTTGGTATTTGGAGAAAAAAATCACTGCTATTCATCAACATTTTTTTGCGTTCACTAAAACGATCATTGAGTGTGCTTAGGTCGTGTGTATATATAAAGCTGATGCATTTAAATGGAATGTCTGTTATTGGAGTTGTGACAATCATTAGGCCAATATAGAACCCATGCTCCACTGGGGCCTAAATTTGATGCAATGAAAATTACTGGTCGTTTTTATTACATCATTCGGCGTGTTTGAACTGTAACATTGTAGAACAAAACATCTGTATGGTTCCAAATGTTTAGTTCAGCTGTGTCTTAACTTAAGGAGAAAAAGTATAGACAGATATTAACTTGAGAACAAGATTGTATTTAACAAAATAACGAAAAGCGACCGTAACGCGAAATGCCTGCCCGTCACGTGACTCGTTTTGGACTTCCCAGCTTATATTCACATCGCCACAGAACCACAAATTATTTCACTCAACTGTCTCACACTTTCAACTTATGGACACAGTGCAAAACTAAATACGCCATCGGCTGTACACGCAAAAGAGCGCACACGCATTCTAAGGAGCGATCTCCCCATGCGCACGTGCTATTGGTTTGCGTGCATTCGATTGAATGTTGGGGGTGCGCTATCTTCGGAGTTCGAACGCATGAACCAGCGCACGTAATGTGTCCTTCCAAACAGCGCCACCTACTGTTCGTGCACGGAGTCCATTATCCGCTCATAACACCTCACACTCTTGTCCACCCTGGACTGGATCTGGGTCTGGATCGTTACACTCTGACAAAACGGTTACCCACATGACATCATTCTTGAAGATGTCTTCAAGATCTGGGGCACGATGATACATGATACATCGCGCGCTGCAGATGACATTTTGCAGACGAAATAACAACTTCAGGTCAGGGTGTTGCAAATTCCATCAACCAAAATCACTCAGGCGAAAAGGAAATGGTAAAATAATTCATGGAGATTGGAGATTTAAGCCAGATATATTTTGGTAACGTGACATTTAAGTAAACCTATATACGAACCAAAATGCAATAATTCTGTGTAACTATCAGAGTGCATTAGTCGCAGTGACTGACTTTCAAATTAGATACTAAACGTGTTTAGCAGACTAGTGACCTTCTAATGGCTTACATATAGTGCAGTCTTTATAATTATTTAGGATTTCTTCACGTTCATCGAACCTTGTAAACATTAAAAGTCATGATGAAACTCCATTCCCTTTGGGAAATGTTCTCTTCACACTTTTTTGCAAAGAGTGTTAATATATGTTGCATGTTATACGGTTCCTTAACGGCAGCCATAAAAATCTGTTATTTTTAAACTACGATCTATAAAATATCTCGGTTACATGGTCACCAAAGCCAACAAAATATCAAGAAGGCATACATACTGATCAACAGTGTGTTTTCACATAATCTATTTCAAGAAAGATCCAGCCTTATTATGATATTGATGTCCCTGACTCATCCCGCCTGGTGCCCGATCAGCACGTGTCTTCCATTGAATCCACTACGCTGGCAGTCAGGAGACTATTCTTGCTGACTAACGCCTGCTTACCGTTGGCGGCGCGCTGGTAACCACTTGTTGACGTCATCAGGTGGTGGCTGGTGGGATTTAAGGGCGTTGCGCTTTGTTGGTGACTGTTGGTGGCGTCGGGGCTTGTATTACCGCAGCGGAATACGCGCTTAAACCCGGCTCGAAACCTGTAAATATACGAACCAAATCAATTAAATCAATTAAAGGCTTTGAAATGAAACGATTGCGGAGAAAACAAAGGTGTCAGTTCAGCCGAAACGTGTGACAGAAACCAACTTCAGTTTTCTGAGGGGAGCTAGAATAACCGTATCTGGTAGAGTTTCACAATGCTTTTATACCCGCAAACTTCACCCAATTTTAACTTCGAAGCGTTAATACAAATTAACTCCTCCTAAGCAGGTTAATTTAGAATCAAGTTTTTCTGATACTTTTCTTAGTGAGGACCTTTGGAAACAAATGATCGAAAGAAGACACAAAATGATGATAGGGAGTATGTTGTGATCGTTGTCAAATTGAAGTTTCAGGTCATGACACGAGAAGCACTCCTTAAGCCCGCCGTAATTATTTCTTGAGCGACTTTCCCCCCAAGTGACAGCCTAAATCCCTGGGAAAAAAATAACAGCATATGATGGACGAACATAAGCGAACGATTACTGAGAAGTCCTGGCCCGGGGCGTCATTTAGCCGGCGTCAACAACAACTGACACTAGCGACGCTCAGCGGAGAGTGAACCCAATCTTCCTACCATTTCTAAAACCATCGGGAACAGGTAAAGTCTGGTCTCGCTTGGGTGCAGGCAATCGGCAAAGTGATCTTTAGATGACAGTCATTCCCGTGTGTGGCTCAATATGAAATGTCTGCGAGTATTACAATCTCCAAAAAGGTTCCAAAGCCCCGTCAGGATGGCTTTTTTTCAGTTGGATGTTTTATCATAACGAAGTGATCTTTCGATAAAGCTCAATAAAACAAACGCTCTAATAAAGGCAATTTGTTTCATCTCCATACGGATCTGTGTTGGCGGCCCTTTCCCATTCTTCGCGTGATGGCTCGTAAAATCTTTTTAAGTTTTATAAACAAAGATCGATTTATACTCTAGCTAAATATTGCAAAGCAAAGCGAAGTTGCGTCGTAGATATAACAAATACTCTTGCTGCGGATTCGCAACTTCGGTGAGTTTCTCCACGCGAATCTACCTTTCGGGTTTTTTTGGGATGAAATAATGCTCTATGATTCTATGCTGCAGACTGGGATTCTTATTCGAATTCAATTTAGACATGGTCCTGATTAAATTTGCTTCTTTGAAATGACCAGCTGAACCTTATAGCATGCCTTTTTTTACGAAAGGTTCAGCTTTCGAAATGAAGAAATCTGCCAGCGGCAAGTGGCAATTACAGCGTATACAGAAAGCGGGAACTTGATCCAGGAACGTGCATTGTTAGAAGAAAAGAACTCATTCCCACGTCACCATTATGAAAAGGGGGTTTCTAGAGCTGACAATTTGTGCCAAATTTCCCCCAAGATTTGGACAGAGAATGGAACTTATACCGTTCTCGTCAATTTGATACTTTTCTCGCGCACTTATCCTCTCAATGCCTCAATCAAACGTCAGACAACGGCCAACGCGTCAAGACAGCTTCCCTCCTAACACCTCTAGCACGGGGTCAACTTGATTTAAAGCTACACATACGCTCCTCAGGCCTCCTTGTTAATCTCCCTGGCGGAGAATTCAGGAGTACCAAGTTCGCTCTGCGAACGTCCGCGTGTAAGCGCGCTGGGGAGAAATCGTCACCTATAATTGACAAATTAATACCGAAACTCTTAACGGACATCAAGTCCCTATGGATATTAATAGTTTTTGGAAGCTACCTTCCTCGATCCTACATAATCCTTCAAAACCTGTTGAATTTTGAAGGATTTAAGAGGGTTCATGTTAATAAACCCTCACCTATCATTCAGCCAGCAATAGATGAAAGGATTGTACATAGATGAACTCATAGCCAGCGTCCAGACTCCTAGGTAGACGTGTAGTGAGTAGGATCTCTGATAGGCAACATCATTCATGAAGGACAGAAGCTGATACACATGCAGAGGTAACCAACATGTAGCAAAGACTGCGATGACCACGATGATCATCTTGACGACCTGATATACAAGAATAAAAAAATCACGTCCAAAATGCAATAATCCTAACTACCAATGTCTTTGAAAAGAGCACAACGACACGCTGAAACATAATGTATGACAAATGCTACAGCCATAATGCATAATCTATATGTCATTATCTCAGACAATATACATACATTGTATTCAATTGTCAGTAGGATGGTGTAATTTTGGCCACTCTTTATGCGATCGCTATTGATGCGATCCAACAGTAGTTTTTTTTTTTGGGGGGGGGGGGCTGCGCATGCTCCATGCCCACTATTTTGAAAAGATGATGCCTCATAAGGTCGCATCGATGCCAATAAGACGTGGCATTTGTTTACAAATTTGTGTCGTTGTCACGTGACACCGACGTTCGCTGAAACGAGGCATGACGCTCGATTCAACATTCATCTCATGTTATTGAATTATCGATCATTTTTATACCGGCGTCATACAGTGAGGTCTGTATATAAATACCCGACAAACTTGCGTTGGCGACTGCTTTTTTTTTTGCTCACAAAAATAAGAGAGAGAATGCGCAGACCGTGTCACGCGCGTACCATGGCCCGATAATGAACCAAACCATTGGCACAGGTATGGTATCCCGACGTTGTCTGAATTATTTATTAAGTTTTTGGATGGGCTCTACAAATTTCTCAGCGCAGGACTCCAGCCATGACGTCACTTGTTGCACTGTCAATATTATTGCTGTGTGTCCTCGTGTGCTTACTAAACTCTTGTATGTTGTAAACAGGTGGTCGTGGTAGCCTAATAATAATGACTACCCACCTTTCTTTTGGCTTTGATGTGTCTTGCCCGACTAGGAATATATTCCCCCAAAACTCCGCTCCTCCACAGCTTGACACCAATCACAGTGTAGCACAGGGCCAGTATGGACAAGGGCACGCAGTATACCACAGTAAAGGTCGCCACATTATACCTAATGCGAAGACAAATGGTAAAAGTTTGTCACCATGCACGAGACCTATGGGAATATGCTTAGTGTATCGTGACAGGTGCAAATTTAATTGAACATGACAGACATTTGAGAGACTTTGCCGAGGGACAGTCAAAACTCAACACGTTTAACCTGGGGACATTATCTTGATCTATCAGGCTGCGTGGTGACATTGCCGCTAGGTATACATGAAAACTGCAAATTTGAGATAACATATTTATCTTCTCCGTATCTCACCTTATAGCTGACATTAATGTTCCTTTCAGTGTCTCTGTTAAAGTGAAGTTAATCGTTGAAAGATGGAACTTCAAAGGGTTTTGATTAAAGCCAAGATTAAAAGTAATCCCCCGTAAACTGCTACGTCGAAGGCCAAGTAATAAATGTCACGTTCATGTTATCAAGATATCTGTGCTTTGACATGTTCTTTCAACATTTTATCATAATATATGCCTTTAATTAAGGCCGATTAGTAGGCTACGTCATAGAAAAAAAGTAACTAGAGAAAAAAGTGACTTTGCATTGTAACCGGAACTAAAATTGATTTACAATTCACAAATTGACCTTTCCGTTTGAGAAAAATACGCCTACTCAAACCCACCGCTCTCCCTCCCCGCCCGCCCTAAAAAACATTGTCAGAGGGACCCTATTAATATTTACATGATGCCGATATTTCCTTATAAGCTGCCGACTTGAGGCTTCATTCATTTGAATAATTAATTGTTTTGAAATAGCCTGCCCATTTGTCAAGGTTAACCTTGTGATAATAATCAATATTGAGACAATGTTCGCGGTCTTAATTAAATTAGCCTTAAAGACATACATTTTGATTAATTGACTTAATCATGCTCCAGTTCTTTTCCTGGAAATCGTTTTATTTATCATTAATTTGACTAAATATGCCTTAATAACCGAATATAACGAATATTATGATAAAGTTTTCAGACCGTTATCTTCAAATATTTAAAAAAAAATCTTTTATACCGCTTTCATTCTAGTTGGATCATGATCAGTTGTTTTTAGGATCGTGTGGTCGATTTAAGGCAAACGATTTCAGAGTTCTAGAAACCTCGATTGTTTTTTTTCCCTTCAGAGAGCCTTAAGGTACTGAGGGCAGTCATGGTGTAATTGCTATTGAAGGAATCAAGTCCCAACTCACATGAACTGACTGAGAGATCCATGTTCGGTAAACAGGAAGAGACATCCGTTGCCTTTCAGCATTTAGAAAGGTATCGCTTCACACCTTACATTACCGTCAGCAAAGATCCGAGAAACCCTCTCCGTATAGCCTGTTCACACCAATCGGTGAGTGGCATTCAGAAATCGGAATATTTTTGCAGGGTAGCGTCGCGTTTCCTGCCGTGTTGTCCTTTCATAAACCCAGGTACCTGTACACAGCTTGCGATGGTAAATAAAACGTGTGACTTCGGCTTCGTTTCATTAGGAAAGACGTCTGCTTTCGTTGTGCGAATCGGGCCTTTGAACTTCTCCGTAAATCCGTGAAAATGCGAAATAGATAAAAAAATAATGTGTTTGTTTCTCAAGTTTCAGCGATTGTATATTGCTATTAAGATAACCAGGCAGTCATTTGTGCACTCAAAGATGGCTTAATGACGGAATTTTACCAAAATGGTGTGATTGATGTAGTTATCATGATAATTGTCACATTCATCACCTGACGACTTAATGGTAATTGGAACGATTGCGATAAAATCCCCACTGCGCATGCGCGTAGTGTACTCGATCCCAGCATGCTTATTCAAACTGCAATAACATTTCAGTTCAGTAAACATCATTCGACTATATGATAATAGATAGAAAGTTTCAGCTTGCCATTCTCTTTCAGACAGAAAGTCGCAAAAACAAATCAAGAAACATTGTTATTGGCAGTATGTCATAATATGCTCAATTTAGGCTTTTTGACGATAAATATATTAAGAACACCATCTAAAACAAGTAGTTATTAAACCTGCAAAATATGAATGTAGCCATTTAATTATGACGTAATTATGACGTAACAAGGGTCTATAACTCCCAACTAGTTTTTCAACTGACTCAAGACCAAATCTGATGATGATGACAATGCCTTTCAAATTGGGAAAAAAACTCTTGACATAATGGATATATTCCAATGCTGGTATATCCAGCGGAATATATCCATGTGCCCTTGGTTGTACAGTAATTGATTGATAAAAATAATGTCTCTTACCAAAACTCGTATTCTCTCTGTACTCCATCCGGCCAGATGACGTAACACTGCGTTACCGGCCCGTTCACGTATCCAAACGTCACCAGGTGGGAGTACAGGAACAGAGGACTAGCAAAAGAGGCGGCCCCGCCCCAAATAAAGAAAATCATGCAAATGATGCAGGATTTGGAGAGGCGTGGCAGTAAGGGGTGGACGATGGCTCGATAGCGATCCACAGAGACGGCTACTAAGGATAACACTGATGCCATAGTGGAGACAGTCCCCATGAATCTGGCCATGCGACACATAGTGGCACCCATCACCCAATTCTGCGTGACGATGAAACTAAACAGAAAAGGCATGCTTAGAGTTGCGATCAAGGCATCAGCAACGGCCAAGTTTAACAGGAAATAGTTTGTGACTGTTCGCATGCGAGGGTTGGTAGCCACTATCCATATGACGATAATATTACCCCCGGCCGCTGTGAGCATAACTGCTGATACCACCACGCTCCATATGATACGATCACGTGGAACCATATTATGCGTGAAAGTATCATTAATAGGATAGTAATCATCATAGTCCATGAAATCACTGGCTGTGCCACCCATTTTTACTTCTGCGATCTTCCTAAGATCCCCTGTAATAAACTTGTGATGTCCCTTTAGTAAAGCTAAATATCATTCAAAAATGTTTACAGCGATTCCACAGGCGCTGAACGACGGAGCAACTAGTCGTGCATGTGTCTTGAAAGTCTAGCCCTTTTAGTGGTTGGGTTTAGTGCAGTGGTATCAAAGGTAAAATCCTAGATTGTGCAACGGATTTCTCGTTCTCCTCGGTTGGAAACAACAGAAGCAAACTACTTTTGCTGTGTCAAGTCTGGATCAGTGATGTTCCTGCTTACAAGTCAAACCATCATCTTGTGATTTGTAACGACTCAATTTTTTTATCCCGTCGAAGGGAGATGTTCCTGGGTGTCAGATCAATCCAGTAACGCTGACTTTATGACAGTAGATACAGTGTTTGAAAACTAGCAGTCCTCAACAATACCGTGGGGTTTCATTTTACATGGATGTCCGGTGTGGCTCCATCTACTTTAGCAAATCACCCTGAAGGAGTAGTCCAAGTATCCACTCTGTCGAGCTAGGATTTCACTGACATCAAAGCGAGTTGCTACAGTTACATTATGCGGTAATCTGGGTATGATCCCTTCTGAATTGCGTTTGTGACGCACGGAGAAGCATCGCAGAAAGTTCTTGGCGATACGTGGGCCGTCGTTTGGCTTGACTAGACGCGGAAAGCACCCGGGTGGCTCACGGTATAATAATGGGGCGGGGAAGGGCGAGAGATGAGAAAAAAAAGTTGTGGTCGTATCCGGAGCACGAAGATCGGCGAGACCTCTTGAAATCTCATCAGCCGCAACCAGCCAAATGGCCGGCTGTTTCTCTCTGACGGTACGCTAAAAGCCCAGCAAAGCACATAAGAGTGCTCGTGGATGTAGCTAGGACGAGCTACTGCCGGAGTCTCTATGGATCTGTACCCGCTGACTATGAGATTGCTCACTGGTAAAGCTGACACCAGGGGACTTCAGTACGCCAATACAACGCTCTCATCTGAACAACTACAGCTTTCAGCTGAGACGCTCGCGCATGCGCCTTTAGCCAAACCCTCACCGCCCCATCGACACGCACGAACGACAGTACGTGTTTTTCACTCCGAAAAACTGCGTGTATTGTTTTCAAATAAGTTTGAAATTACACCTTGCAGTTTTTTTTTTTAATATTTATCTTTCCAGATCTCCGGGCGGATCTTGACTACATGCAAATGTCTCAGACCAAGCTACTGGATCGACTTACTTCCGTGCACGTATTTCCCAATTTCACCGCACTGTTCCCTCGTAAAGCTCGTAAAATGCACGCTGTTGAATTGAATTGGCTCTTTGAAACCCGCCTGGGGTTTGCTGTCCATTTCCCGAACAATTTCCGAGGCCAAGCAATCTTCCCGGTTTTATTCCGACGAGAAGACGAAACACACGTTGATATTTCTCGGTAGCTCGTGCCTCACAGTTTAATCCTGAAATACAAAGAATAAAAAAAAGATTGCTGAGCCATTTCGAACCTATTAACATGATTGGCAATAAACATTAATGCATGTAGCATTGTGTACCCTTTTTACTGATGAAAGATATAAGAAAGAGCATCCCTGTAGTTGCATTTTAAAGAGTAATGTGTCAATCCCAAATTAACAGCTCCTACGCTGCGCGGCTGTCTGTCTCCGTCTCTGTCTGATGTCTGTTTTTTGTAAAAGGCCCTAGGAGTGTGCGGGAGCATTCCAGGGTTAATGGAGAGGTCTCTAGTGTATGCAGGTCCTATGCTGCGATTTCACTCAGTCCTCTGAAGTCACGGTTGGCACGTAAAAAAATTATTGATTTGTTTTGTTTTTTATTTTTTTTGGGGCAAATTTGTTTCTTTGAGACTTTGACTATTTGAATATTACAACATCGTCTTTATGAAAACACTCCAAAACGAATCGCTATTACGCAAATAATAATATTGATAAATTCTATTCAATTCAATTTATTTATTCTCATCATGTAAAAACATGAAACTTGTCTCCTCGTTCTGCACACATAGTCGTATGCAAATTTAAAAACTTCACATTAAAACCATACAAACATTTACACAAATGTACAAATTGATGATATAAAATGTGGCAAAATTGCTTCACCAAGGTTTACCACGCCCACCTGGGGTCAACATGCAAATTGAGGTCAAAGTAATACATTAGTATATATGACTCCACCCAGCTGGTGGGTGCCGCGCAAAGTCTAAAAGACTTGCATATCTTTATCTATCGACGATAAATATTTTTCAAAACCGCCAAATTATTTGTCTCCCTTAATTAAATTCGTAGTTGACCTCTCGAAAGAATTGTTGCAAGCACATGTCAGAAACATTCGACAAGATCATTTTTTTTGGCAGGAATATTCAAACATCGTCGGTCCAAGATAAATGTTTGGTTTTCATTTTTTCCTCTTCTATTATTAAATTGTGAGCCGGCAGTGGATAAACAAACAAGTTGTGTGGCATTCTCTTATCGGTTGCTGTATGCGTCTTATCACGCATCACCTTCCATAGCAACCACGATATGGCCTTTGAAGGCAGCGAACTGGGCTCCGTTGTAAGAGCTCTCGCCGCCCAATCTAAAAGTATTCGTCAATCATTCCCGTATCTGAAAAATCTTGTATGACATGTGTAATTGTTAGCAATTCACTTCTACAAAACGGTGTGATTGTATCAACTGGCGGGGCAAACCTTAATCTGTCTAGAATTGAGTGGCAACGCACCGTACGTTTTCCTCAAACGTGCCGATAGACTGCCCCGAATAGGGGGTGGGGGGAGGGGTTGAGGCAAACCAATTTGTGTTTTTGTGTACACTGACGAATCGAGGCAAATACAAACGAACCTGCTTGGAATCAAAATCAACGGGGACATTCATTTACCCTTCGTTTGCTAACACGTGAACGTGTACACACTCTAGAGTTGAACTGCAAACTGACACTTTCTTATTTTTAATAAGCTTTGGAGATTTCGAGAGAAAAGGCTTCTTCTTACTAATCAGCTGTCAGGTTGTAAAAGATTTATTAAAAAAAAAACAATTTTAAAGAAGGAACTTTTCAGTGGATTGCTTGTTCACAAAAACTCGTAATTTGCGATGTGATATTAAGAGATTTTCCCCCACGAATCCTAAACCAAGTCTCTTATAATTGCAGAGTTCCATTTTCCGTAACAAGTTAATTGTTTTTTGCTTGTTATGCTGTAACCTTTACAGAAACTGTATTGTAAAAGTGCACCTCTAATCATATTATTGTGTTGGAAGTTGTTTCAGACTTTTTCTTAATGGGTGATCAGTATACTAGTACGAGCGTAGAAAAAGTATAACTTAATAGAATACTATGATGCATGAGTACTACGGTGTTAACCGAAATTAAATAATGCTCTCACTTGTATTTTTTCCCGATTGAGAACAGTTAACAAGCTACAACACAATGTGAGTACGTCTGCAGGCACCATTAAGCTGCAACTCTTTCTCTTAATTTTCTTCACTGAACTGGTGGGCATTATCAAATAGTTCCGAGGCCTTCAGTAAACTTCTAAATCAATTTCGTGTGACGGAAGATGCATCTGTTTAAGGAAATTACACTCGCAAACTTTATTTCCGACTTTTAAATTACTTCAATTCGGTGGAAACAACTCACGAAATGGTGTTGACTGTTCCATCTGAACTGATATATGGATGACATTATACACGCGTGTACGGTCACTCACCGGTACTGCCCACAGAACATGCAAATACATCTACTGAAGATAGCACGCGCGCCCTTGTGTGGTATGTTCCTCAGGTGCTGTTCATCACACTAATAATTAACGTGGTTGGAATCAGCGGACGGATCTCTAATCGAGTTAGGCTGGAGTGAGGCCGCGCGCCAATGCCTATTAGACGACTCTACTCATCCGTTGAGCGGATGGATAATCATAATTTGATCTTCCGCGACAGATCCAAGTCGCGCCCAAATCTCATTTCGGCATTAACTTCGTCCGCTGCACGAGTTAACAACAATTATTCAAGAAACTGAGCTATTCACTGCTTTATTATAGGGACCAGGTAATGAAGGATTGTGACGTGAACGTATTCCGCGCACCTGTGTTCTTATAACAATTAAGCCTGACTTTTAACGATGTTTTCTGATTTAGTATTCATTCGCATTTGAAGTTTCCGGGGAAAAAAACATGAATGACGCACACGCAAAGCTGATTATCATTATGGCCGGCATTGAAAACCCCTTTTCAAATTGTTCGCAGAAAAAAAGTTACAATTATTTCGTTACATTATTTCGTTATTAGTTACAAAATGTTCGCTGGTGTAGACTTTAAGATTTTTGATTTCATCGCCAACAGAATACGGTTGTCGTTGAAATAATAATCAAGGATTTTGACCAAACCCAAACATGTCTGGAAAAAAATGCTGTTGTTCTCTTTATATATTGCCTTAGCAAACAACCACAAAAACGGACTTATTTTCACCTCTGAAACGAAACAAAACTACTCCACGCAGTTTCTATTCTTCCTTTGCATATTTCGATAGGAATGAAAACACGCACCGCAAACAGTTTTTAATTCAATGTAAAGAGATGAAGTCTGCAGGTTAAATTGTGCTTCAGACGTCAAAATGGCTGAAAAGGATCAGATATAATATCTAGCGTCTCACTGCGTACTGCTCTGTTTACCCGACTGCATTCAAATAAGTACAGCAGCTAAACGGGTACCAGTCACGTATTTTCCAGTAGATTAACTTTCAGAATCGTTTAAGACATTTGGAGATTTATATTCCAAAACATTACACACGATATACCTTGTTTTCGGTTTCCTGTCTGTTAAATGGCCATGCAAATATAATGGAGCTTTCGAGCGGAGCAGTTTCGTGTTTGCAGTGAGAACACTTCCTGTATTTAGAATTGGACAATTTTAATGAAGTCAGTGTGCACGTGAAGACATGTGTTAACCTTCCTGCAATGAGTACAAAGCTGTAAAAAAAAGAAGGTACACCTGTAGCAATATCCTCAATTTCGTCCTTTTTTGAAAGGAAAAGTTAGACTCCAAATGGATGATGGGTTTATAGAACTACATTTTAACAGTTGGCACAATGCGTTGACACTCGAAGTTAAAATTTAATTTAATTTCCTGTTTAAGAGTGACCCTCCCCATCCGTAAGCACCAAAACAACGGTCCTTTAGATCGAATTATGTTAGCGTCAGGAAATGGTTATTATTCACTATTTATACAGAACCGCCCTATTTTTTTTACGAAAGCGAGAATGTACGTGCAAAACGATCATGAATCTTATGCGTGTTGTTAATATGTATGTTGCTATATTATGTTCAAGTGGCCACATGCTGCAATTACAACTTTTTTATCACATCGGGGTACGGGGCCTGTTTTTTTATCTTATGGCTCATATTACTAAGTACACATTTTACTTGGGCAAAACAAAGTTATGTCGAATTGTTTGACCCAGTTATATTAATTTTGCCGTTATTGATTACTCAAAATCCGTTTATTTGTTCATATCTGTCTTTCTTTCTTAGTTCCTTTCGTAGTATTGATCACAGATGTCAATAATGTCTTAGCATCATGTTTTGATTTGCTCACATTGCAGTTGACGAGAATAGTCTTGCTCTCTGTCCACCGAACCCCTGTTCAATTCACTGGCAAGTTTTGGACAAAGTATCTAAGCCACTAAAAGGGGTCATATCGCAGGGGCGGTAAGCATCTGTGAGCGGGCCGAAATCCTATTACAATCGGCTGTTACTGACATGTCACGTCGAACTAGACAAGTGATTTCTCGTTCCCAATACATTATAGGCCTATACTTATAGGATTATGTGGTTGGCGAAGGAGCACATAACATGATATGGATTTATCTCTGCATTTGGAAGACTTTTATTTAATTCTTTCTTGTATTGAAATCAAAGTTTTTTTCAAAAGCACACTGAAGCAGTGTTGCTCAGAAGCCAATTAATAGAAACTTAAGGCAAAGGACGAAGAAATGTTAAGTTTCATATACAAACGGAATTTTCACAATACTGCTCCAGGGTAAATCCAATCGTTAGATCGGTCTGGGCGGGATTCGAACCAAGGCCATAGAGGTGGAAGTACCGTCGCGTAAACCTGACCCATTTGTTAGAAATGTTGATATAATTGTACGTCCGATGATGTAGATTTTAATATTCTCATTTTCGGCCCTTTTATTCAATGTGATAAAACGAACGAGTTAAAAAATCATCCTAAGATGTAATCAAAGAAGTGTTGCATCTTTCACATCAATTAAGAAACCTTTTCAATTACCATGAGATATCACCTTTAAACTTTTGGCTTTTCATATTCAAAGGCAGTCAACTGATATATCAGCTTGCAAACGTCGGCAGCACCAGCAGAAATGATTGTTTACATTTTCAGGTCTCGGTTTCTGACGAGGAATGACGTATTTCCGTCAACAGTTCTGCCTGTTTCCTTTTAGGTGTCTTCTCCGAATTGTTGACTA